TTTTCTTCCTGCCTCTGTTTTTTGTTGTATCCATTTCTTACATGGTCTTTCCTTCTTCTTCTCCGTTATGCTTCGTGCTTCGTGGATCCTCTCCGTTATTTTGTCTGGTTCCATCCTCATCATATATTGTGTCCATACGAATTCAATTGTCTTTTCGTTATTTAGTTGGTTATTGCATAGACTACAAAAGAAGTCATTCAGTAATCTTTGGTTATTGATTCCTGCTTCAGATTTTCTCTTATGTTTCGTTCCTTGTTCTGTCCATGCAGCTCCGTTTTTCCATCTATCTTCTTTAAGTTTTTCATCTCCATTGCATTTATTTTACTTTCGTGTTTCTTTTGTTGAGTCCAATTCTCACTAGCGTCATTCTCGACTCTATTAGAAAAATTTCACTCCGGTTCACATTTATGTGGATGATTTATGTTTATTCATTTAATATGCACCTTTGTTAGGTACACATGCACATTCGATATGAGAATGTATCACTTTTTTTTTTCATGCAAAAAAAATTGTGAATGTGAGGAAAATCAATGCACTATTCTCAATACATCGCATTGTTCGTCCAAATACATTGCTGATGATTCTTCAATCTCAATCGAATGTCGAGCGTGAATTCACTATTGGTTTCGATAGCATTTTCGATATTGTGCAACGAATTCAAGTCATCGTAGATTTGGAATCTCTTCTACTGGAGATATTCAATTCAATATTCATACCTTTGTTGGATTACCTTATTCAGTGAACACAGTTACACGACACTTAATATATATGGAGTGAGTTAACCTCGTTGTGTGATTCAAGGAAATATTTGATGATGAGATTCGAAATTGGTCATGCAACGAACAATACTTGTGCTGATCATGAAGGGACGCACTTTATATACAGCGTGACATAGTAAAATATACGAACGCTGAAGAAAATATTTATTCGATATTTTTTAACTTTTTATTCGTCAGATGTTCCTCAATGTATTAATTCTGATAACAACCCGCGACCTCGCATTCCAATCAGTCCAGTCGTAAGTTTCGTACTCGATCTAGTCCTACTCATCATATATTTCATTTCCAAGATCAAACCATTCCTCCATTACAATGATTATACTTCGAATATGCTTCGAATCATCTCGCCAGATAGTGCTTTATGAAGTTATCCAAGATGGATGAGTATGTATTGGTGCGCTATTTTTTTTGTTCGGACTTCTTGAAATTATAGGTCTCGGTGGAAGAATGATCATGAAATCAGCTGCTCGAGATGAATGAATGTCAATCATCAGGCATTGCTGTTTATGGTGAAGATTTCGATCGACTGGCTTGGTTCTCTCTTATAGGTAGTTCGACCCGAACACAGAGCAATAGGAATCAAAATGGATAGAATTGAATACTCGAGTACAATGGAGCGAGAAGATACAAATCAGTGGAAACTATTTCAAGACATTAGTATGCCTTTGATGAAACAGGAGGAATTCAATGCGAGCAGAATTTTGAACAAACTTAACGAGTAAAGAACGCATATTTCGATTTGAGGATATCAAAGCAACAAATGGAGTATTTTTTATTGGTTCCCCATTAGGAAAGGAGTGTTCTCGATATCAGATCATTCAGTATTCTGGAAGAATCCCCAGAGTCATCGTGCCGCTATCAATTATCCAATTCTGAAGTACAAAACAGCGAATGAGATTACTCAAAATGATCAAATACTATGAGTAGGCTCTGATAAATATTTTTTCAATTGCAATTGTGACGACTGCGAATGAATTAATTCCCATTTGATGATGGCCCAATATGTTCTATTATTTCAATTTTTCTCGAAATACAATGATGTATGACACGTTGACTTTTGGACAAACTCATACCGAGTTGAAATAATAAGTAGATGCCTAATTGACAAAGAAAATGAATATTTTAATGAAGATGTATTTTTGAAGGAGGCAGTAGATGTTAATGAAATGAACGTCAATGTTTCATTTCTCAGGTATTCCGACAACGTTAGTAATTTTATTTCCCACTTGTCTTCTATACTTCTTCATAATACCTTGGTAACGATTGCTATTACCAGACTATAACGCCCTGAGCATGTTTGTGTGTGGGTGATTCGTAAAGAAACAACCGATTGTGATTGATTCAGATGATTCTTGGCATGCATCATGGAAAAAGTTACGTCTGATATATATGTAAATCAAGATTACGTCTATCATCAATTTCAACATGTGACTTTCAATTGATCTCTGTGGGATGATCAAGGTGGTGTCGTATTCCTAACATCTCTATAGGCCTTGAGGGATTCTTTTTCATCGTTTCCTATATATTGAGACATAATTTCTCTTCCAGATTGATTTCAATGTCTAGCGAAACAAAGATGATTCGTCTCAAAATGTCAGAACGTTGGAACGATTTTACAGGTTCAGAAAGTGATTTCTCACTGATACAGTTGATGCCATACAGTAAGTGTCACATCATTCCAAAATATTTAAACAATAGCAATTATATCGAAGAATATAAAATTCTCGAAACTATTATTCGAGGACACATCAGCTGTTCATGTTCTCAATATAAACAGAGAAAATGTTCTTTCCCAAATTTCGAACTTATTTATCATACTTGTTGATGTGAAGTGGTGGATTCCTGATTCAATATCAAGTTTCAAGTCAGCAGTGATAGACCAAAGTTATTTCTCGATTGCAGAGTAGCAATTTACTAAAACAGTTTTAGTTTATGAAAACTTTGCGCAATTTTATTGAAATCAGACCAAGAGCAAGACAGATTACCAATATGGAACTGATCAATATAAGGTGTTTCTTAAGTACGTGTAGAGAATTCAGGAGCATGTTGCTGACGTCAAAATGAGAAGAAGAGTTCGTATAAATATATGAACGAAAGTCATTCGTTTCTGAGATACAGAATGTCAAAGTTGATTTTTATTCTTGTTTTTTGTTAATTAGATTCAGAATAATTGAGACATTTGAATCAAGTTTGGTATCTAGAGGTATTTTCCCATTTCTAGATCAAATTTCATGTTAGTTTGTCTCTTTCGTGGGGTGGCGCCACCTACATGTCTTTTTAGTATTTTTTGTTACGAAAATAAACTCCTTGAACACTGTTGTGTAGAAATTATATTCTTGGTGGAGGTCGCTGCGAGCAACTGTTTTTGATTTATTGGGATTTGAAATAATCGATGCAATTTAATTATTTTCATGGTGCTCGAAAGATTTCGCGCAATTTTTCTCGTGCTTGTCTGTGGATCTTCTTCGATTGTCTAAAGAACAGCTTCTTCAATTTCTGAAGTCCTAGTAGTCAACGGTCTGCCTTCTTTTTCAATGGATTCTGGCTTCATAAGACGCTGAAAAAGGTTTCTGAATGTCTGGTGATTCGGCATTCGATGATCAGGGAATCTTTCATTCGATTGTAATTTTTTTGAACCGAAAGAGTGCAAAAAAGTTGATACAGGGAAGTGAGAATCATTTTTTGCTGATATTTCAATGTTGAACGTAGTAGAATATTGAATGGATGAAGAAAAATGAACTGGAGTATCTTTTCTGATATTTACTACTCAGAGGCGACTAACGAGCCCCATGGAAATAATTCAAACGCATCGATTATTTCGAATCCCAATAACTCGATGACAGTTTTTCGCATCGACCTCTACCAGGTTTATATTTCATGAACATAAGTGTTCTAGAAATCTATATTCCTACCATAAAACGTGATACTGGTACACACAAGAAATTTATGACTTTTCATAAAAATCAAAAGACATGTAGGTGGCGCCACCCCCACGAAAGAGACAAACCAACATACAATTTGATAGTGTCATTGAAAAATTCTCCTAGATACCAAACTTCGTTCAAATATCACAATTATTTCGGAAATCAACAAAAAACGAAAATAAGAATTCAACTCTGACACTCTGTACCTCAGAAACGAAGAACTTTCGGACATATATTTATAAGAACTTCTCTTCTTATTTTGACGTCAGCGACATGCTCCTGGATGTTCTACAAGTACTTAAGAAACACCCTGTATATTGTGTTGCCTCAGACCTCAATAAATTGAAATGTTTCATATTCTATTTGAATCCCATTATCACACTTTGAAATCAATTCAAGACACCTTGAAATCTAGTTTTCTGAATGATTTTCAGGTGATGAAGTATCACATTATTCTAAAATATACTGGTTGGAAAAAGGTTCCTCCTCCGCGACCTACTCTGGTAGCCTGTATGGCACCAAAACATTCATTATTCACTGTTTTTTTGGTATTATCGTTCATGTCCGAGCTGCATTCAAGAAAGGAAGCGACTTATTCTTATATTCCAAGATCTTATAATATATCTTAAGATACCATCAATTTGCGGTAGGCAGGTATACTGAAGTTCACATCCCGAAAACTTTTCTGTAATGAACTGAGAACCCATTTTATTTTGCGTGAAATGAAGAATGGTTGAATATCAAGAACAATAGAGAAGATCGACATTGGGAATTTTGTTCTAAAAATTTGTTCTAAAATTTGTTCTATCCGTCATTCGATTGCCCCCTTACGAGCAACCCTCAAAAGTCTTCGAAAGTCTTGTGCGAGCAAGGAATGACGGGGGCCTTACCTTTTAACGTGTGATCCCAAACACTTTCTTGGGCCATCAGAAAAATTTCTGCAGTCGACGGGGATCGAACCCACGACCGGCAAGCGAATGCGAATTAGAATATAGACACTCTGTCCGCACGGCTACCTGGCCACCCATAGAAGGTGGAAAAGGTGAAGTAATCGAATACAATGAAATATCTGAACACGGATTCAATGAGGCATGTGGTTCAACATTCGGTCAGCTTTTATTATCAAGCCGTGTTCAACAAAAATATGAACACACTAATTGATCACAATGAAACTTTCGAACTACATTCATAGATTAATCATAACATCACTCCACAATGATTATCTCCATACTCGAGAGCTGAATATTATGGTAGGTTGTCGCTTAAGCTACAAGATAGTTCAATATCATCTTAAATAAACTATAATAATTATTTTATTCTATTTCCGTTCAGATTATCCATAATTCGAATTTCATGATTTTATCATTCGAATCATTATAGTAACATCTGATCATTACGCAACTCTATTATCAAGGCTCTTCTGCGTAGGATGTTTCAGACTTTGGTTGAGTTGCTGAACTCGTATTCTCCGTGAAGTGTTTGTTACTGCTCACAATTTCCGGGCGAATTCCATGGAATTGAGGATCATGATCATGATGATGATGATGATATTTTCTTCGAAAGTACCCAGATTGGTCTTGACTTTGACTTGAATCTGGATAAGGACCATGATTATGAGGAAATTCTGGACCATGTCCATGGAAATGACCTGGAAGACCTTGAGCATTGAATTCTGGACGAGGACTATGATTTTTGTTATTTCCTGGAAGATATTGTCCGTTTTGTTCGTATCCAGGTGGTTTCGGACGATTGCTCGAGAGGGTATTTGATGGAACTGTATTCCAAGTCGTCTCATTTTGCTTCACGTTAATATTCAGGGTCCCCCCAAATCTGTTAGGAACATTACTTGATTTCAACCATCTTTCTTTGATGAAATCCACTCCTCTTTCTGCTATCAGAACAATGGTCGCATGGGTATTTCCTGATACCAGTCGAGGCATAGCTGAGGCATCCATGATTCTCAAACCATCGATGCCATGAACTCGCAGCTTATTATCGACTACAGCTAGAGGATCAGAGGCTGGACCCATTTTACAAGAACAAGCTTGATGGTTCTCAGGTCCAGTATAAAATCGAACTGCGCATTCCCAAAAGTCATCAGTATCATAGCTGAAAAAAAGAATGGAATATTCAAAAGAAGAACCTTCTCTCATATATATTTCAGTTTCATAACACGATGAGAGGAGATTGAAATGATAATTTATCTGAGTTGTAACTGAATTGGACTCCTTTGCAACATGATTATTAACTCACCCATGTTTCTTGGCACAATTTCCATATTCTTCTTTTTCCAATTCTATTCCATATTTATCGATGAGGATTGAAGAATTGCAAAGCTTCTGGATAATACGTATTCCGTCCACCAATATTTTAGAATCTTCTTCCTCTGTCAAATAGTTTGCAATCATCAGAGGAGGAACCAACGGATCCTTTGACTGCAAAGTGATGTACCCCTGACTTTGTGGATGGAGATTTACTGGAGAAATAGTGAGAGTCTTTTTCGCTTCTGGATGATCCGGATCCTCCAATGATCGTGCCTCTCCTGATTTGGCGCATTTGGCAAGATACCCAGCAAAGAAAATTTGGAGGTCAGGATGATCACCCTTAGGATCAGCGTATTTCGAATTGATTCGAGCAGTCAATTGTGACATACCTACAACAAAAGAAATTTCGTTCTTCAATTCAATTCATTATGACGAACGATTGTTCGTTATGTTATCTCAGAATCTTCAATATTTTTTTTCAACTATCTTATACACTACACTGTTTCACCACTAACCAAACCTATTTTTCAATCGCCTCACCACGTGTTTCGCTAAATATGTAAGCATCTTCAGGAGAAGATGAAATCCAGTTGCAATCTCCTCTTGAATATGCTAACATAGTTAGCGAAACACGTGTCGAGGCGTTTGAAAAATCGGTTTGGTTAATGGTAAAACAGTGTAATGCATTATCATGCCAAAGGTTTCTGTCTTCGATATATCAATCATCTTATATCCATTGATCATATTACCGGTTGATGAAAGTGGACCTCTCTTATTGAGGATATAATCGAGTGCATTCGCCCAGTCCATGTCATTGAAGTTCTTCTTCTTGTTAAGGAGGTATGTGATGTAAAAAGTAACATGATTCTTCAAATTCCGTCCTACTCCAGGAAGATCATGAATCTGTTTTATTCCAACCTATAAGTAATAAAAAACTATTCAAATGATGGAAATGAGTTCATTCATATTTCATCGGGTGGAAATTATAATTTTGTTTTCGTGACTTGAGAACTGAATGGGATAAGATGTTGTAAATATTGAAAATAGGAAGGATTATTGACTATTTTCTGTTACTTCAAATACTAGATGTCTTTGAATGAAAGATTGCTTGATAATGAAATTTCATTGAACTAGATCTCATAACTGTGAGATCTAGGATGAACAGGGTTGACCAAATTGTCAGCAGGAGCGAGACAGTACTGTTTCGACTCACTAGGCCTCATCAGCCGCTGTCGTCCTGCTGATAGCGGCGGGACAGCTCAACGATCCGGGTATTTCATTCATTTCGAAGATGCCAAATGATGAATGATGATCTAGTCATGTTATAGCCATGAATAGGACCATGCGATCGCAGCAAACACTGTATGACGCTGCCATCTGTAGTCAACACGTCTATGGAAATGCAAAGTGGTCACACAAGTAAACCACTCTGCTGAGAGATGACACTACCTGTCTAGTGAAGTGGAATGATTCACTAGTCCAATTTATTAATTCAAATCTCATGAATAAAATAGTAATTCAAGTTTTCAGCAGACCAAGAGCTGCTGATGAGGCCTGGTGGGCCAAATAGTACTGTGTCGCTCCTGCTGACGATTTGGGCAACTCTGTTCATTCTGCACAGAGAAAAATCATGGTGAAATATACTATTGATACTATAATTATTGGATCTCTCACTAAAAAGTGCGTCGATTATAGCTCCGAGCACAATTGATGGAAGAAATTTTGATTTCATCATAGTGATTTTCCATAATGATTATTGCTATATAATTTCAGCACAATGAATTACTATCTTCGATATAAAGAAAAATGAATATGGATTGTGCGAGATTCCACTCCAGATCAAAGTGGAATGAGCCTACAAAGACTCATAATATTATGCTAATGGCTACTATATTATTTCAGTGGGAAAAATTATATCATCAATTTTAGTAATTATTGTTGATGTGATGTAGGTGCAAACACTATGAGTAAGAATCTTTTCATTGAAAGAAAAACGTTGACACACAAGGAATATATTATCTGACAGTTACTAAGTAGTCATTGAAGGCGGATTTATGCAACAGCAACAATTACATTTTCACTACATTAAAATTACATTTTCACTAGCCGCGGGCTACCCGTTCATGCACCGCATGCTCATAATGAACTAACTATTCGAGGTTATGTGATCTGCTTGGATTTTACAAATGTTTACAGGTTATTTGAGAATATGGATTTATTTTGAATATAATATCTGAGGTGAATCACAAATAGTTTTGTGGAAAAAATGATCATTCAATGATCAAATCTTGCAAATCAGTCGTTTTCACTAGAACTATAATGTCATTATAATGAAAAGTTAGAAGTTGGTCAACTTCTTAGTGCACTAATGTGATGAAATTGTAATGAGAATGTGTCAATGTGTTGCATGAATGCATTCTATGACATAGGAGTTCTCAACATTCTTAATTTATAATGTAATGAAAATGTAATCATAATGACTGTTGCATGAATCGGCCTTTGAACAACGACATCAGTAGAAAAAAACAAAGATATAGAAGGTGATCTGATATATTTGAATGTTTTGCTTCAACACTCCCCCTAAAACATAAAATTACTTGTTTCTTTTATATCATATGAAATGTTCCTCAAACCATTCCCAACATATCGCACAACCGTTCGAATTGCACAGGTGGTAGTGGTTTTGTTAAAATGTCTGCTATTTGCTTGTTTCCAGGAATGTGCTCAATCTTCAGTGACCCTTCTTGAATCCTCTCACGCACAAAAATGAAACCTCACGTCGATGTGTTCTGAGCGTTCGTGGAAGCCTGGGTTCTTCGTTAGTTTGATAGCACTTGCATTATCCACAAAAAGTGTGGGCACATTTTTCAGTGGAGCAATTTCACTGAATAAACGAATCAGCCAGACAGCATCTTTTGCAGCTTAACATGCCGCAACATATTCGGCTTCCATGGTCGACAGTGATACACTTTGTTGCCGTCTACTTGCCCAAATGATCGGTCCTCTGCTATACTTGGAAATAATTCCACTCACTGATCGCCTTGTAGTAGAATCACTTGCATAATCTGCATCACTGTAAGCCTGAAGTTCACCAACTTTTCCAGCATGATGATCATAACGAATACGCAAAGCAAAAGTTCCTTTGATGTATTTCATGATCCTTTCCACCATTACCCAGTGTTCTTCTCCAGGTTTTTCAAGAAATTGTGAAACGAAATTAACTAAAAATGTTATATCTGGCCTTGTAGCTACAGCTAGATACATCAGACATCCGACGATTTCTCTATTATTATCTCTCTTATTATTATTATTATTATTATTATTATATGGTGCAGTTGTCATTTCGACATCACTGATTTGTGTCAATTGACATTTTTAAAACGGAGTTGAATCTTTTCAAGATGTTTTCTGCATAATTCTGTTGACTGACAAAAATCGAACCATCTTCTTCTCTTCTGGTCAACATGTTCAAGTAGAATCCAATTGGCTCGATGGTTATCTTGAATTCTGCTTTCAATCAATTTGAAAAATACTCAATACATGTTTTATTCGTTGCTGCAATCAATCCATCGTCAACATACAACACCAAAATGAATTTTTCGGTGTTCGAAAGTTGATAATACAAACATGGATCTGCTGCACTCCCAGTCAATCCAAAATCGAGAAGAACATCAGTGAATCTTTTATTCCAGCACCTGGGCGATTGCTTCAGCCCGTATAAACTTTTTCTAAGCTTGCAAACTAAATGAGTTTCATCTTCAAAACCATCAGGTTGATCCATGTAGATGTCTTCATCGATGATACCATACAGGAATGCCGTCTTAACATCGAATTGTGCAAGCTAGAGATGTTCGTTTGCTGCTGTACTCAGGATCGTTCGAATCGTATCAAATCTTGCAACAGGACTGAAAGTTTCATTATAGTAGATTCCTTCTCGTTGACTGAAACCTCTCACTACTAACCGAGCCTCATATGGATCTATATTGCCATCAGCTTCACGTTTGATTCGAAATACCCAACGATTCGAAATGGTTTTCCGACTTTTTGGTAATTCAACTAAGGACCAAGTTGAATTCTCCTCCAAAGAAGTCATCTCCTCCTCCATAGCGACTTTCCAGTGAATATGATAAGCTGATGCACTTGCCTCAGAGTAGTTCTTGGGTTCCTTTGATTTGATTGACATTGCTTCAATAAGACGATCAGGAGGTCTGATTTCCATACGATTCCGCAACTGGCGATTCAAAGGTTCCGAGTGAGATTCGATCGGTTCTTTTGCTTCTAGAATATCCATTGGTGCAGAAGGCTTAGGTTCAGGTTCTTTCAGTTCTGATTCTGATTCTGTGTCTCCACAGGAATTACTGCCGATGTTTTTCCAACAGAGTCGTATGATGCAGAATCAATTCTTATTTTCAAAATATGAAGGTAAAACTGGAGAAACATTCACTCTATTGTAACATCACTCACGAAACAGATTGATATGGTGTGATACTGTTTACTTAATATCATACCTGCTCAGAATCCACTATAAACAATCAACTTCTGGTTAGGTGGGTATCCTTATTAATTACATAGGTGACGAAAAAGTACCGAATTCACTCGAGGTAATTGGACTATTGCGAATCTCGATCTGGTTTGCTTTGGGACTCGCTACCAACTTATAAGAGTAATCTAGTATTGATATACAATGATTTCAGTTTATTCGATACACCAAAGAGCCATTACTGGGATCGAGATATCATTCGAATATGTTCCTCAACTATACCTTATCCATTATTCCAGATTTTCTGGGATTTTCTCTCCTCGTTTCTATAAAATAAAAATGAGAATATTATTTCAATATACGTGTAGAAAGGACAAATCAGATGATTTGCCTCAAAATGTCACTGCGTTCAGAGAATTTTCCCATCAGAGAGCCTCAAAAAAATATTCACCTTGCTTGTCAGTGACAATTTGTATTGAGAAAGGTTTGGAGAAGAGGAATAGAGGTATATTGAGAAATATTGAATTTTCACTCAGTTTTGGACGTTTCAACAAAAAAAAAGATGATTCAAATATCAAACTCGTATCTGTCTTGAAACTTTTCAGTTCTCAATGACAATTGTCACTGAGATTCGTTTTCGAAACGTCCAAAGCTATGTGAAAATTTGTTATTTTTTTATATACCTTTATTTCTCTTCTCCAAATATTTTCCTATACAAATTGCCACTGACAAGCTAGTGAATTTTTCTTTCAGGGTCTTGGATCGGAAAATTCTTCAAACGCAGTTATTTGTCCTAACTACACGTATATCGAAATAATATTCATATTTCAGTCAATAGAAACGGGGAGATAGAATCCCTAACAATCTGTAATAATGAATGTACCACCTCCTCGATTAACCTACAGATAGTATACCTTATCCAGTTCTGATTTTGGACCGATTCCAGATAGTAGAAGAACCTGTGGGCTATTGATCGCTCCAGCTGCAAGAATGATTTCCTTCCTAACTTTCACTGAATACAATTTGTTTCTATAAAGGAACTCTACACGTTCTGCTTTTTTATTTCCACCATTATTATTTATGATGATTTTTGTCACAGTAGAATTTAACATAATGTGTAGATTGGGTCGAGTCCTGGCAGGTCTAAGGTAAGCTCTTGCACTACTGAGGCGAACGCTATTTCTGAAAAAAATATGTTTCCAATCATTTTCTGTCGTAAATAATAATAATAAAAATAATCGTTTTTTCTGTGACGGGAAAAAAGTTTGGCATTTCATCTCTGTTGGCAGGTTATAAAATGTCACTTTTCATAAATTACTCTTTTCCCGTGGGAAAAAAGTGAGTACTTCTTTCCCGGATATATATCACATATATATACACTGTTGATGGCCTTTGTTGTGCTATAGTTCCGAAAAATGAGTCAATAATACCGTCTCCGAGAAAGAACTGCAAGTTCTTTTATCTTCCTTTCGACTTCGCGGTAACGTATATTACTAAACAACCACTGAATTCGCAATTTTTTGAAATCAAATCATAGAATTAGACTGACAGAAGTGACATCAGATATTTGATTACTTCAAAAGAATGATACAGATGCCTACAACGCAGGTGTCCCTACTGTTAAAAACTCAAAATTTCACGTCGATAATTTTCAGATTCCAAAATTATGTAATATCTTCTCGATATTGATTCGTCCTTTCTTTAGTCACAGAAAAAAATAGTGTATTATACACGGGAAAAATATTAAATTTTAGCTCACGGTTTTTTGTCTCCCTCCGCTACGCGTCGGGAGACAACACAACCTGGAGCTAAAATCTCCTACTTTCTTCCCTTGTATAATAAATAACTATTATTGTCTGCCAATGAACAAAATTACCAATTTTATGTATGAACAATTATGTCAGTAAAAAAAAAAGGTATAGGTCTCAAACAAGAGGTGAAGTGATAGATCAGTGGATCGATTCTTCCACACTCCCCTAGAGACAAAAACAAAACAAAAATACGAATAATTCAACTTAATATGTCTTTCAAGTGAATAAATATCGAGGCTATATCATTTTCAGAAGATACACTCTATCATAATAATATATTATAAATCAACTATCACTGGTTCATTTTTTCTCTTGGTTTTTTCGTGTCACTGCTGTGAAATGAATTTTTCCCTGGATTTGTTCATGAATGAATTCAATGATAAGGAGGAAGTATGATGAGAATGTCGTTTTATCTGCAAAATACCAGAATAGCAATATTACAGGAAATGATATATTCATTACCAGTGAATAAACATCTCATGCACGAAACTTCAAGATGTGAAGATGAAAAAATATTTGTCCCTAAGTGGAGTGATTGATAAGAAGATAAACTCATTATAACGTTTATGAGTTTGGTAGGCCATCAGTAGAGCAAGAAATTGTTTTCGGATGAAAAATATCCTACAATATTATCAGCTGTCGAAGTATGATACTCGTTCACCGAAGGTCGGCTATAAATCCTTCGTAATATGTTGATGAGGTACAAAATTATACATAGTGCTATTCTACTATCTGGCTTATCTTCGAGAGGTGATTTCTAAGGCGATTCTGAGAAAAAATGTTTATACTAATATATGTATTTCTAAGCATAGTTTTCAAATTAGACGAAGTGAAACTATCGTGAAACATACTTATTCTCAGTAAATCTGAATACGATCGAACCTGCCCTTCACAATCACGAGTAGCACTCTCAAATTCCAACAAAATTGGGTGAATGATTTCAACGATATTCATGAAGAACAAAATTTTTGTGAAACTGTGACAGTCTGCATCTTGAAACCCATGCATTTTCGAAGTTATATGTTCGTATAAACTTTTCATCTTGGAATCACTTAGAAAGTCGTCCCTTGAAGTTTGGTCACATACTTTGAAAGCATATCAAGGCAGATTATTCCGCAATACTTGAATTGCATCCCAACATCATGAATATTTTTGTCTTCATCAATATACTTATGAATAAAGCTGATCATAGCACGATAGGCCAACAGCTAGCTGAAATAATATACAGTGTGATAATCTGAAATCTTACGATAATATCAAAAAATTCTATACAATTTCACTAGGATAGGAGGAGGAAAAGTGACATGGAAGATAATTCACCCCTTCACCTTCCTAGACCCCATCTACCTCAACTAAAAATATTGAATGACCATCAACCCATACTCATGATACATCATCAAAAAGCTCATAAGAAATGCGATGGTATGAATATCAATTGAATAGGGTGTATCAATGAATATGAATTAATATATTGTAATTCTGAACACCCACATAACCTACTCGTGGAATAATGTTGATGAGGATGATTTCTCCCTTATGCCATTTCAGTTTCTCATCTTGATCTCAGAAACGGTTTAGAGCATTGTTAAATGAAGTGGTTCTTCTGTCTTATATAGCCCAATGTGAATTCCAAATCGTCACAGAGAATGTGAACTTCATCCACATTGAAGAAATGATCTGCTGATCTCGTGAGAGTATGTGGATTGATATTGAATGTCATGAATATATTATTATCATGTTAAATATAATTATTGTGTCATGAGTCACGATAATGCACGTTGAAAATTCAACGAATATCCTCTATTCCGAATTCAACTGACAGTACTGAATCTGCTGATTTTTTATTCTAAAATCAAGAAAAATCACTAGAAGTGACTGATACTTGTGAGCAGACACACTATTCATTTTAAATAAATCTTGACTCAATATCCTGCTGGAATTGCTGACTAGCAAAAGATAGTGTGACTTCAGTGAATTAACTGTCATTACTTCAGGAGAGGGTGAGGAATATCACATTGATTTCAGTTGTTTCATGAACAGTAACTCTCGTCTTATGAATGATGAATTCATAATGAAATTTTCAATATTCGAAAATGCCTTTTATTCAAATGATTGGCCACATAAACAAAAATCTGCTGAAGTGACATCCTGACAACTGACAAATTTCACTAGCTGATCACTTGCTGCTGATTACTGATGAACACATGCCACATATTTTCAGTAGGGACAGTGGTATTACTGAATCTACTGACCAATTGCGAAGTCGAAACATAGGCTATATCTCGTATGATAAGAAACGTCAAGAGAAACATATTCAGCTGGCTTCTCAACTGAAACAAATTCGTTTGATTTTGTTGTTCAGAAGTTAGATAATCGATAAATTATGAACCTATCAGAGTCTTTTTATATTCATCAGAGAACAAAGGCTCGAGTCTGATTTCGTGTCATTTATGGCAATCGTGGTATTCAAGATTCATCTTGAGATCATTATTTTTTTTTAATTCCATCATTACTAATGAACAGCTTGAAGCGATGAATTATTCTGGCGTATCGACATTTCTCGATCTCTGAATACATGATTGCAAAGATCTTGACGATTTATTCCAAAGATTAGGCCAACAATTACTTTTTGTGCCATGAATATTGTATTGCTAGTAGGAGCAAGCTCCACAATAGAATGTTGATGTTTATCGTGGAATATACTGATGCATTGGAATGATATGTATAAGTTATCTGTCATTCGAGTATTGTCGATTTTGGTTTGTACAGATACAATGGCAATTTTCCTCTTATCCAAGATAACAGACTGACAAGTTCAGTTGCTAGGCGGACATCTCTATTCTTGTCGGAAGACAAGTTGAAATCTAGCTAATTTTCAGCAACATGAGAAATAATCAACTCATACAAGGTGATTCAAAACTTGCAAGAACAAGATAGGACGAGTGCAGAGTATTGGAGAACATTAGTTCAAATTCCCTCAGTACCGTGGGCATCAGAATGCGTTCAGTAATGTATTGGAAGAAATCCTCATCGTGCATTTTTTGAAATGGTCAAAATGAGCGATGAGTGAATTAATCTCAAACTATTCGACGTCGGTTCAAAACAAATGGAATTTATTAGGAAAATCCATAAGTCTCGATTTCATTTTGGCATTGCATGTTTTTCTTTGATCAATTGTGTGACTGCGATATTTCCTGGCTTCAACATATTATATTATAATCTGTTCTGATCTCTGAGTTCGAGAGTTCGTACCAATAATGGGAAGTTATAATTTCCAGACAACAGCTCTAGAATAGTTCTCAATGAACCAAAAGGTTCGTAGGTGATTTCATTTCTGAATAAGTAGTCGATTCAAGGCTATCGGTACACAATGAAGTTTTTTCTCAGGGCTTCAGTAATTTTTGAGTCCAATTTTTATCATAACTGTATATATGAGTTGATTGTAGGTAAGATGAAATATCCTCGTTCATTATGTGTGCCAGAAAGTTTCACGCCTTTGTGTCCTATAGGGTGATACTGGTACATTCCGTGAGAATATAAAAATTGAGGTTTCCTCCTTTTATCCACAGATCCGACATTCATCTCCCCTCTCTTAACTTAAATCCCCTACATGCTATCATTTCTTTTTTACCGAAACAGATTCCAGTATAATTATTGGTTATTTTTTCTAAAACTACCTAATTGTATTGACGAGGAACACTCTTTGCCAAAACGAACTGAGAATCATGGATTGAAACGACTAAAGCCCTAATCTCTATCAAAACTCTTTAGTTTTATAGAATGGCAAAAAATCATTCCTGTAGAACTTATAACCACCAGAAGTTTCATAAAATTTCTTCTTTTTACTTCTCTAGCACGCACGATGTTTTCCGAACATCATACGAGTTTCCTCTCAGTGTTGATCTTCTCCTGAAGATGCGAAAAACACTTGTCAAGGCGATGAGATATCGGTTCGGTTGATGGTGCGACAGTCTAGTGCGATTCACTTTCATGCTCCCAAAAAGATCAGGAGAAATCAAGAAGTATGTTACTGAAAACGAAAATTGGAGAATAAGAAAATATCTGACTGAAATTAACACAAAAAATAAATATTTACATATTATGGTCAACCATATTATAATGGTCCATAACTAAGTATTGTTGAAACTGATAATAATTGATCGAATAAGAAATCATTTAGCTTTGGTATTTGATACCCAAATTTGCATGAATTTACCAACTATATGCATTCGATTAAAAATCTCCAGTGGTTAATTGTGTGAACTGAAAATATCAGGATTGTTAACTGTTTCAGCGCACTGAAAATTAAAACTGCATTTCCATTTATTCATATCGACTCTCGGTTCGAAGTTCGCTCTGCGTTTCTTAGTTTCAGAAAAGAAATATTGCGTGACATTCATCATTTCTGACATCAGGAGTCTTCATGAAATATTACTTAGAAAATAAATTGAAAAGAAGATATTTGAATTAAAATCCTATTCGTCGTGAATAACGTTGAATTTTATATGACTGCCTGCTAGCCGAGCTGCTAGCATTTTCTGATCATGAGTTTTCGAGTTATATTAGGTCTCTGTAATTGCTTCATCATGAATTTCTTCATTGACATCACGATTTCCTAGTGTTATAAGCATATTCATCTGTTAATCAACTCTTACTAGTTATAATATGATGAGTGTAACCCATTATTGACGTTTATTCCTTCTATTTGTCTTCTTTGGCTTGGTCGGAAATATTAATCAATCGAGAAATAATATTCAATAAAAAAGCACAAAGTCATCTCCACGACTTCTTAATTTGAAAACATGAAATTAAATGAATGTTTCGGACATATACATCGTCCACCTTCAGCCTATGCTAAAAAATCATAGAAGTGAGAGGATAATGTGACATTTTGAAGTATTGATAGAACAGGAATTCTCAAGGGGTCCCAACCTCCAGATAGGAAAGAATAAAATATTGAGGGACGACGATGAGGCTCAACAAAAAGTAATCAACTATGGTTAATGAACAATAATGATTGGTTACTTTTTTGTCCCAACCCTCAAACAGAGAAAAATCAGATTATGGAGGACGACGATGAGGCTGAACCAAGGGCTCATCAAATAGTATTGTTGATTACTATAATCAACTATCGTTCAAATCCTACCATCTCTTTATATCCCTCCATACGATGTTCCACAAGCACTAAAGAGATCCTTCTCCTTTTTCAACTACTATATTCTAGGATTTTTCTTCAAATATTGGTCGATATCATCATCATTTCATACACCTAGTGTAATGAGTGAACTATTATATGTATGATACCTACTTTATATTCTGAGGCGCAATGCGCCCAATGATTTAACGTGCAAGGTAGACAATTTCGATCTAATCCGGACATTTGTACCTAGATACCTATTGTGAATTATCAACAAAGCACTAATGACATTGACCACCAGCCAATAATTCAATTGGAGAGATTCCTGCATTCGCATGTAATATGATTAGCATGAGAGTAGATATATATTCATAAAAAAATATGTCACCTGATGAAAAGTATTTTTCATACTGATTCGATCTATTTTTCCGGTGAATATCTCTCTTTCCATCAGAAAAATTACTTTTTTGCTATTTTTGAACAGCTACGTCCATAACAAAGAATTTGGTGGGATGAATCCAAACGATTATCATTCAGATATTCAATCTCAAATGAACTAGAAACAATGGGTCAGTGTAAAGCATGGTTCATCGATTTATGATTCTTCAGATGATGAAATAGAAAGAATTAATGAGCATAAATGCTACCGAAAGGGGAACATATTTATGCTCAGACCAGTTCAAGACTTGGTATGGAATAAGGCACCACTCCGAAAGGCGTGAAGGAAAGGAGGGAGTCGCAATTTTTTCTGCAACGAAAAGATACTCTAATGAATGCCCTACACTGATGATTACAATAATTCGAAACGAAACCTCACTTGATACAGAGAATATTCACTTCAATTTGAACGAATAGAGTTACTTCTATTCCGGAAGGATGAATTCAATGTGTTTAGTGATGAGAGCAAGGGTCCCAGAAGACGATAATATGAGACAGGCGCACTTTCTGAATAATGTCACATTATCGAGCCGCTTTTCGAAAAATTTGTCATGTTTCAATGGTGTATCATAGAATTCTCGCCGACTCAACGCCAATATTGGTGATGTAGTGAATTCAAGTACCTACTGCATGAATCTCTGCTGTAGCTGTTCTCTGATCCGAAAGTACCTAATTGGCTTAAAGCGATGAGTATAAGGCAAATTTCTGAGTACTCAAACTTTATGGTGTAGTTCGATATTACATCCTAACAACCGGGTTCCAGCGACCTCTCAAGTCTGAATGTTCAACAAAGTGAACTATTTCATTGTGTATACCTTCTGGTACTTCTACTTTGATGATAATTCTTTTCTTTTCCATCTACTGAGGCTTACGATATGAAATCCTCATAAGATTATGAGAACATGGAAGAGGAGGTAGAGATTTGATTAATACCTGTATTGATCGAACATACCCTATTCTACTATAACTTGAGACACTTCGAATTCAGGCGACAACAAAAACCAATCCGACCAGATGACGAAAACAGAACTTTTCACGATATAATTAGAGCAGTAATCCGATATAATGTTCTGAATAAAGAATAGTATAGCCTATTCGAAATCTCTTGGCTATATCTTTGAAACTGTTCACTATTGATTCGTCTATACATTTCGAAACAGTTCTTAATTTTAGTCCATCAATATTTTATGGCTGATTCAGTAACCATTAGTTCAAGAAGTGAAAAGTACTTAATTCATTTCTCATAACTCCAGATGCTACATTTTGGTTGTAACTACCTTCATTTAACTTCCTCACTATATTTTGATCGACGTGTAGCTCTGATATGTATTGACAAGAAAGATTCTTACCTGGTTGATTTGGGTATTGCTAGACTTGCAATATTGTATATTTTGAGGTAAAGGGTACCATTTTGAATATCGAAGTCTGGAGGTGAAGGCAAGGGACAAAGCATTCAATATATAATAGTTTTTCACTTTGATCTAGATATCAAAATCGATCTCTCATGTATGTGAGTTGTAACCATTGCAGATCAGAAAATATGCAGGGTGGTATGTTCTGAAATATTAGCCCCTATGGTCCTTTATATTCTAATAATTCACCTGACACTAGCTTGAGCAATGGCAAATCCAGTGGATACTTCACCATTCAAATCTTTCGACACTTTGTAGCCAATTTGTTCGGCAGCTCTGAGCACATCGTAAGCAAGTTCCGGTTGATCATTGAACCTTTTCGTCGTCAAAGGACCACCTTTTCCATGGTATTTGGCGTCAACAAGCGTTCCTATTTCTTTGTTATCCTCTATTCGCTTGAATATGGGTAGGAGTTCGTCGTAACCCCAACCCTCATTGCCTGCTTTCACCCAGTTGTCATAGTCTGCAAATAAAAACAATTGTTGATGATAATGAGTGAGGTAGAAATAATAATTGTTCCTGGGTTCTGCTCTTTCTTGGAATCAAAATATTTCGAACATTTATGCTATCGAGAAGCAAACAGTGGATAAGAGCAAGGAGAATTGTGAGGTACTTCAAAACGCCACCCTAGGCACGGTTTGCTTCAGCCTCAGCTGCAACCTCAGCTGGACAGAAAGTCCCTTGTTTGGTACACCGATGATTTTGAAATGAAAGAAGTAGTTGGCGCTGGTGTTTATTGACTCGGTTGCGGGCTATCCGAAGCCTATCTTTCAAGCTGAAATGTATGTCATCATCCTATGCGCTCGAAGATTTCTACGCGATGTCCTGAAGAGTGACAACATTCATATCTGCTTACACAGTCAAGCCGCCACAAAAGCCTTGAAATTATTTGTTTCCACCTCGGTGATTACATGAGACCACTTTGGAACACTCATGCAACTGATAATGGACGAAGTCACACTTTCCAGTCAGGTAGAGATGATGGAAATTGTATATGGTGAAGCTCAGCATGAAAGTAGAATCATTTAGATAGGTAGGTTCATGTTCTCAACTGAAGATTTGATGTTCATACTCATACTGAATAATCTCACAATGTGATATAAATATTCTGAGGACGTTCTGTTAACATTCGGAATGGTATGTTTCAAATATTCTAAATACTGAGAAAAATACTTGCTCTGGTGCAGATGCGAACCGAGTATATTGTGATTGAATTTTCACGAACCTGGAACCTTACCACTTCGCCACGAACCACATTGATTATTAAAATGAATAACAAGTTGACAACACTGTATTAGTGCGATTATCAGCATTGAGGCTAAAGAATAGTAGGTTGTGTCAGTGTGAATATTTTCAATATTGATATTGATAGGAACATGATCGTCATAATATATTTCGGAACGATTCTTGATATCCTCAGAATATTCGAGAAAAATACTCTCAGAATATTCAGGAAGGATATTCTGCGGATATGTCAGATAGAATGTTCATAGAATATTGTTTGCAGAATGAGAATATGCTATGATCATTCAACATTCAATCAGAATATTCTAGAATAAGCAGTACATTTGAACGTAGTCAGAATATTCATAAAATGTTCTGTATTGTCTGGGATGATATTCGCAATGGTTTCACTTCTAGTTGGGAGGTACTATAGGTCAACGACACGCAAGAAGGTTCATTAACCAATCGCAAAATCGAGCCAAAAAAATACTCAGCCTCAGCAAACCAGAGCTAAAGCGTATTACAGACTTTCTCACAAGATACTGCCCTCAGGGGTTTCACCTCAAGTATATTAGTCTAGTAGATACTGACACTTGCTGCTTCTGCAACAAGCGACCGAAACCGCGGAACACATATTTCGTGTTAAGTTGATCATACCTGTTCCATCTCTTTCACCCTAACATACTCACTTGGGGTATGTGATGTTTTTCAACCAAGGTACCGATGTTTCCTCCTTTGAGGCTGACCAGATTTTTCTTTAAGACCAGAAGAAGGTACCAAGGAATGATTCACGACTCCTATGATAATTGTAACATTCAGACAAATTCAATTGAGTACCAATATAATTAATTCAGAGTAGAATCAACAAATATACACTCCACTATTGAAAATATCGAACCATTATCGAACACATTGCTCATGAAGTGTATAAGTACGCTAAAGGCTGAATCACCGAGAACAGGTCTATCTCTTGCCTGCTAAGATGAAAAAATCAACCGCCAGATAGGCTCCATTCCTAATCAGCCAAACTACATCTTTCTGATGTCTGTGAGATGTGTATTTCACTACGTGAGTACATTTTAGGTCCCAGAGACGTCTTGTAGACGTCTAAAAGACGTGCATTTTCCAATTATCTGTGAGTCTCTGAGACTTCTCCTCTAGGTCTTTTTGTTCCTTATTCGTGAATTCATTTCTGGAATCCAATGAAAATCACACATTCTCTATTGATTTTCACCTGTATACTGACGATGGTAACTTGTGCGGCTAGTCGAAAAAAAAACGACCTCCCAAGCGGTCTCTAAGTACAAATCTGGCTCGTTGCTGCATGACTTCGGTGATCGAATCATATCCATTTCCTCTGTTACTTTCAAACTAATAACGAATTCCATTGGCAAGTACTGATGGAATGTTTCTGCCTTAAATGTTTTGTCTTTTTACTCCCATGTGTATATACACTCAGTGGAAAACACTCCACCAGTTCCTGTCTATGGAATTTGCTATACGTTTTATATGTCCTGGTGTCTGTTTGTAATCAGGATTGCATGTTGAATTCAACTCACCTATCTTTTCTCGTCAAAGATCTGAGAATCCACGAAAAATTTAATTCACAGTAATTCATTTGAGATTTGGCCAGGTTGAATATGGAAATTCATCCGAACGTCTTTGATTATTATTTTTCCATCTGACCAAAGTGTGTTGTGAAAATTGGAGAGCAATTCGTATGACATTTTGCCTGAAGTTCCTGAATCTGATGAATTTTTTTGGAGGAAAGTGATCACAAACCAAACTTCCTCGATGAAACAATTACATATGAATAATTTTCACCAACTCCAAATCTGGATTTTCTATTATCATATGCCACCTTGAATCATTTCGATGGAGGAACATCGCTGCTTATTCTCAGCAATAACGATGAATAATTCATAGAATAGACAATAAAAATTATAAAGCAATTCCACATAATTATAACATTCGTCATGGATGGCAGATTCACCATTTGGCTGTGTGAGTCTCCTCATGAATCACACTGTATGAGTATTGCAATACTTCGAATCGTTATATATCTCTTATGAGATTTCAGATATGGGTATTATATCTTTCTAGATCTACGGTTCAGAATCACTAATGATATCCAGAAGAACTTTGAGAGGTTGTTGTTCTTGCGAATGTTCAACAAGATATCACTCAGCAACGAAATAGCGACCAATATAATTGGCACGATAGGATTACTACTGGTTATTGTGGTATTCTCACTTCGATAGAGGGAACATTATCGTCCTGACTTCATTGATTCAAGAATACATTACCTCTTTTTGTTCCCCGCATGTACATCATTCCATTGATAACGCTGCTTCCTCCCAAAACTTTTCCCCTAGGCCAATCGCATCGCTTTTCTGGAAAGCCTTGACAAGCCTTCTGTTCTGGTTCTGTTTTGTAGTTCCAGTCCATATGTGGATTACCATGGTAGCTCACTACCATCGAGGGAATCTAGAATAAAAGACCTATTGTAGGAATATGATGATGATGAGTGTGAAGTTGTATTGGTAGATCCATATTAGATCATAAATATTTTCAATCATCGCAGAACAACTGAATTCACTTCAGAAACTCAGGAAAAGCTTCTCATTGATTTCAAATATTTTTCATCAGTTGTTTCACTGAGTTGTTCGGAATATATTCCAACTGACACAGACTTCAGCAATAATAACAGTTCATGCACACATGCTCACCTTTCAATATCGATTGATAACTTTTGAAAACCAATATACAATGATTATGCAACATTTTGCCTGCTGATATAACAACATAAGATAATATATCATTACGGATGTTATGGTATCATTCGTTATCCCAACACCTACCTTTTCTTCCTATTCTCCCTAGAGGTACTCATGATGTTCCAAGAGATGAGAAGAAATATATACGGGGTTTCTCAGGTTGAACTCGTTTATCTTCAACAATCGATAGCAAGAATGGAAAAATTATACACGTATTTTTTTTGTTTCGTTGTGGACAAAATTGTTCCCGTTAAACGGGGTGGGGTGTTGAAGTCCGCATGAATTTTTGGTTTTTATTTTTTATCTGTGGTGACACTTAACTCAACCACTTGAAATTTGGTAAGCCCTTCTCGATATAAACAGTCCTCATCAAAACAGGAGACCCAGCTGCACTGGGTGTAATTGTTTTCATATTCACTGCTATGGAACCCTGCAGATTTTTCTCATTGGGACACTAATGGTGAATTAAAGCTGATGGAAAATGATCCTCATCTATTCACCTTGCTATCAGTGCTTTATTTGTTCAGATGAATATCTTAGTGTCCCTGTTATTTGAGATGATGTCATATTTCGTGTCATACTATGCATAACAGTTTTTCGACTTGAATGTTTATCTCACACCAAATTATCATTCGAAATGAATATTGAATGGAACACCAACAATTCATCTCAGAATTTTATACCCAGTAACCACAGAATTTATTATCGATCATTTTCAATATTCAACGAAGTCTAAAACACTCTATGATAACATCATTCAAAGATACCAATCGAGTATGATGCGAACGAAGATGCGTCTGATATGATTTGCTCAATAACTTGGGAGTTGAGAAAGATATTGAAACAATTGAAAGACAGAAATTGGAGTGAAGAAATGATAATGATTTTCCATTAGTTTCAATCCACTACAACGTCACAATGAAAAAAATCATATGCATGGGTTTCATATCGAAGGGCTCGAGGAAGAATAACATTCAGTGTTGCTAAGTCCTCTCTATTGATGAAGACTGTTTACATCGCCAAGAGAGAAGTGATCACCTCATTTTGAATCGCTAGGTCTAATTTCAACTGAGATGAAGGATAAAAACCAAAAGTGTATGCGAACTTCAACACCCCGTATAGTTAAAACAAGTTTCTCCATGACATAACTAGAGAATATGTATTGAATATCTCAATGTTTGCCATCGATTGTCAATTTGAGACGAGTTAAAACTGAGACACTTTGTATATATCCTCGAAAATAACGCTACAAAATTTGATATAATAAAATCAAGAAATGATTAATTATTTCTGTTCCACGAATCTAAATACCTTTTATTCTGGAATCATACCATACAGTGCTATGTTGAAAAATGAAAGCAGAGATCAAGATTCACAGACAGGTAATCAAACAGAATAGTATGAGATGATACTTTTTATAATCAATGTAACAAAAAAGTAGTCACTAACGAACTACTCAGTTGTATGGAGGAATAATCAATAATCGACTTTTGCCAATCAATTGCAATATTCCACTGCCCCTGAAATAGTTCGTTATCAAGGAATCTGAACATCAAAATAGGTATATCCTAAATGGTTGTGAATTTGCAAAAACTGTGAATAATACGCTTCAGAAAATATCAAATTCCTTCTCAAATCTTGGTGGGTTGATAAAATGAATGAATCTCCACCTGAATATGATTTTCAAACGGTTCTTGAAAAACAATAACGATAGTGTATCACATTATAGGTGCAAAAATGTTATAGTCCCTACTTCTATTGGATATCTTAGACAACAATCTTCCACAATCTAGGATATTGAAATTACAGTTCATGGCATGTCCAAGGTTGTACAAAATATCAGTGATACCGAGGGGCCAAGATTATATTCAGAGGTTTCAGCCAGGGGTTATGAATTTCCGTAGTAATATTATTCTTCACGACTAAGGTGTATATTAAGTTTTTTTCACCACTAGCCAAATATTTCAATCACTATTGTCCTGTGATATTGGAATTTTCACAATGAATGACTTCCTTTTAATTCTAATTGAAACCTTGTAGTCATGAACATGACAGCATATTAGAACAAGTCGTCGTCGATACATACCTACAAATTCGAGTGCTATTCCTGCGAATCTTACATAAGAACAATGGATTCGGGTTGATCATATCAGAGAGGGCTATATATGATTTCATTTGTTCCATGAGATGACAAAAACTACCTTGGTAGTAAAAACACACTATACGCCTCGAAAGGTTGTGAGTAATAGTAGGTTATAGAGCTAATAGTGAGAAAAAATGTTCATCAGTGAGTACTGTTATTATTGTCTAATGATGTTTCATAATTGAAACTATGAACCTCGACATGGCATTCCCTTACACATCAATTGTATTCTCATCAACTCTTCAATATATATTTATATATATTTATATATATATTATTTTATTATCTCAAGGTATTCAATAATCAGGTCTTATGTTACTTCATCGGTATAATAATAATAAAAAATAATAAAATTCAATATTCTACAGACGCTGGTAAGATCGAGTCGCATTTATATACGATAGCACCTAGTTGAACTGCCTAACTGTTTCTGTTTCCATTCTGTAGCTAACAAATGAAGTATCAAGAAGATAACAGGAACAATAATGATATATTATTGTGGTTATGGTATCTAGCATTCAACTTGATAGAATATCTAGATGAGGAAAATATCTTGCTTGAAAACCGAGATGAAAACTAATATCATTTTTTGTTGATTCATATTTTCATTCTCGAATTGCATTCGTTGTATTCGTGTTCTGCGTACAGTGCCTGCTTTGAAACATACTCTCCCACGACAGCATTTTTCAATAATTGATAGATAGATAGATAGATAGATAGATAGATCTCTATTTGCCATTTGAGTGCTACAAGGAAAGAAAGGTTTTGTCACTGAAGTTTAAACTAAAACTATACATTTATGTATAATTGAATGAATGGAATAATCATTTTCAGATAATATCGTAAATATTCCATTTCCGACAGACACACAGACATAAACTACGATATTAACACTCAGTATCTCTCTTCTTGATGAAAATATAACTATGTTGTTGATAATTCATTGAAGTTATAGAAACTGCCGTCCACCATAAATATTTTCAATTTCATTCAGAAAATATTCGAAGTTGCCGCTGATTCGATTTCTAACGGCAGTTTATCAGACATTTAGCTTCAAGCATGATACGGAGATTTTCAAAATGTACAGATGGACTTCTTGAGCTCTCTTCGCTACTCGTCGGGAGACAACACAACCTGGAGCTTAAATCTACTACTTTTTTCCCTTGTATAATAAATAACTATTAGAATTCGGTTTGGCTATATCCGTTGCCTAGTTTATAGGGAGAAAAAACAAATATGGATGGAATCTTAGTGAGCCGCTGTTCGGTTGTCACAACTGTCAGCAGAAGGTTTTCAAACTCTCAAGGTAGTTCTCATTCGTGATATGATATAAATCATAGTTTCGATTGATAATAACTTCAATAGTCAACTATACAGTCTGTCCAAGATAAGGTTGAACAGCATGGGGATCTCGGAAACGGTAGGAGATACGAAGTCGCTTAAATAGGGAAAAAGTTGCGCATTCGGAGGCTCATATCAAGAGCCTTCGAAAATTTCAAAAATTAGTTTTAGTTTTTGAGTTATATCGAAAAAAGTGAATTTTTGGAATTTCTATTTTATTTTTTTTCTCCGTTATTATCAGAGATACAGAAAAACTGAAAATATTTTTTCATTGCAACTTTTGATGAGGTTTAACGTGGTGATACCGATTTTGTTATGCGACGTTTCGTATTTGTGGAACCATCATCAACTTTTGTTTTTTAAATACGGTCCTGATAATTTTTTCACAGATTCTGAAAGGTATTTTTATTCTGAAGTCAACAATGTACTATACAAGGTGATTTGAATGTGTTTCGACCTATTTCTATCCATCATCAATGTTTTTTCGAACTTCCAAAAGAAAAAAAGCCATCAGTTCCACTTATTTCTTATCATTTAGTGTCAAACTTGATGGATTAGTTATTCAATACTGAAAAGTGAATAAAAAATATTTCACTACATCATTCGATCAATGCAGCGTTTAAAATTGTTGATGAATTCTTACACGAATTACTTTAACAACTTAACTTTGACAATACCTACAGAGACATTTATAACAAATGTTCAGAATGATAACCATTATTTTCTGAACAAAGATATCCTCTTCTCACAGTTGTTTCTAAGACATTGCTAAGCATTTCAGGGGTTATTCTATTGAATGCTTCGAAGACACTGTCCCTTAGTTCTTCTTCATCCTCAAAGTTATTTGCGTGTACAAAGTTCAATATATCCCCTAAGAAAAAATCCAGCTGTGTCAAATCAGGCGACCGCGCCGGCCAAGGGATAAAAACGCAAGGACTTCTCTGGAATTATGTACCGGAGCGCCATCTTGTTGAAACCAACAGAGTTCTGAACTTCCGCAATCGGTAAATCATCCAGAGCTTCCTCAAGATGATTCTCAAGCGAATTTCTATAACGTTCGGAAGTCTGTGTTTCATGGTAAATAGAAGGAACAATAATTCGTGTACCAAATATTGCAACCCACATATTAAAGCCGAAACGGTGTTGGTGTCTCGCTGTAATGTATAAATGTTCATTTTCTCGTGAACAATAATGTGTATTTTTTCTATCGAAGCTACCATGATTAGTGACCATGCTTTCATCAGTCCAGATGATTGTTCGAAAGAAATCTGCAAAATTTTAACATTTCCTGGTATACCACTCACAGAATGTCGTGCGCCTTTCGTCATCGCCTGGTTTTAGCGCTTGACATATTCTGAATTTGTATGGATGGAATTTTTGTTTCTGCAAAATGAAATGAGTTGTTGATTGAAACCAATTGATGAGGTATTAGTGTGTTGACTAATTTTCCTTCAAAATAAGTGGAACTGATGGCATTTTTTCTTTGGAGTTTCGAAAAAACATTAATGATGGCCAAAAATAGGTCGAATTACAAATGAATCACCTTGGTTGAATTCAGAATGAAAAAACCTTTTAGAATCTGTGAAAAAATTATCAGGACCGTATTCAAAAAACAAAAGTTTATGATGGTTCCACGAATACGAAACGTCGCATGAAAAAATCGGTATCACCACGTTGACCGTCATCAAAAGATGCTATGAAAAAGTATTCTCAGTTTTGCTGTATCTCTAATAATAACGGAGAAAAAGGATAAAATAGAAATTCCAAAAATTCACTTTTTTCGATATAACTCAAAAACTAAAAATAATTTTCAAAATTTTCGAAGGCTCCTGATATGAGCCTCCGCATGCGCAACTTTTTCCTCATTTAACCGATTTTGTATCTCTTACCGTTTTCGAGATCCCCATGCTGTTCAACCTTATCTTGGACAGACTGTATTTATAATAAATAATATGGATACTGAGAGAAGTGATGAATTTGAAAATACTCTTCTACAGATATTGGCAGAAACTGCTAAGGATCGTCAGATATCTTGCCGGATATTCAAAGAAAATATTTTCATTTTCGGAGAGCGTAGGTACTTTTTATATACTTCTAAGAGATGTCGAGAACTTTTGAACCGTCTACTCTTTGGTGAAAATTTTCAATGTTGCGAAGTAATATTAACATGAAATGAATAATATAAAAAAAGGTATATTACTCTCATTTTCTGAATTTGTTCAGTTGTAGTTGAAAAATTATATTGTGCAACATGTGAGGAAAAGCAATTTTCTAACTCGTGAGAAAAGTGAAACTTTTCCTACTTGTTTAACAATATACTATCCTCACCTGTGATCCTGGAGGTTCGTCATTCCCTGCCTCTATCAGCAACACCTTCCACCCTGGAATCTCTGACAACTTTCCTGCTGCAGTGGCGCCCCCACTGCCTCCGCCTATTACCACAAAATCGTACTCTGCATCCGGCCTGAATTTTGGAAGAATCCTTTGGCACATCTCAGAGATATCACACTTATTCCTTATGAAAGTATCCAGTAAGCTCATGAACAAAAAGAACGCTCCACCCCCACAAGTTTGGTCCAGGGATGGTCCGATGAGATAGGGTGCTACACATCCGCACTCCATTTTAGCGAAAATAATGAGATGTGTGTGCTATATGTGAGCCGATACTGCTTCAAAAACAGACCTGTTTCCGAATATAAATGTGCGAGACCATCGATGAACTGTTATCTGACCAAATCAAGTTCATTTCGCGGTTATTTTCTTGTTGTTGTAAGCGGGGTATTCCAAGATAAAGCTAAGTAACGATCAGCGTACGGTATTTTTGTTGTAGCGTATTCTGGTATACCGACTGAGACATGTCACGAATCTCCATGAATATATCCGATAGCTACAACTGTTTTTGATGATCAACTAATGAGAAATTCCCAGATTGATATCTGATTTCGAATTATAAATGACGATTTGAGGTCATGACAACATGCATCTTTTGTTCGTAAACATCGATTCAAACTATTCAGTTGGCAAACAATCACGATAGAAACACAACAATGAGAAGTAGTTTCAGTATCACTCATCGTTTCTTGGAACCCATATTGAGTTGACTTTCCGAAAACTTATTTCAGAGTTGGTGTATAAGTGCAAAAACAATGCCCATTATTTTGTAGAATATCATACTCAGCAAGTTAAACAGTGAAATTTCGCATGATATCTTACAGATAACAGGATGAAAAGGAATCAATCAGATCAAATATAAATGAATCCTCTATCTCTGGTGATCCATATCTAATTCTTTTCAATGAGTCCTGTATAAAGAGACGGAGGGTGACCATATCATCACTCTTGATATTTTTCAAAGAGTTTTCACTATTATATCATTATAATACGGATATAATTTGGATCAAACAAACTCTTTATGAATATAATTCAATTTGCCAAAGTTATGTTATGGGCCGTACTGTCACCGCAAGACGGACGAAGTATTGTTATACATTTTTAAACCTTGCTCAACTCGAAAACCTTGAGTTAGATCACATAAGGTTATATGCATATCAAATGAATCCAAATTCGATCTTCTATACCTTTATTGTTCAGTTGGGAAAATTAACCGTTTGGAGTTTTTTGAAACCTTCGAATGACAATAGTTATTCGTTTTACTAGGCAGGAAAACAGAAGATATAATGCCGCGGCTGATGGTTTATAACCGGGCGTAACGAGGCTAGGAATTCAGCCAAGACATTGAATCTGCTTTTCTGCCATGTGAAACGTAATTTTTCTAGGAATTTGTGGAATTTCGTGCAAACTCCGAATACTTCTTCATCTTGTGTTCAAGCAGTCATGGTCAGTTATTGATCATCATCATTACTTGAAACGTTGCATAGCAACAAAATTTTCCTGCCTCTTCTGACTAGGCATAGAAAGTACAACTTTCGTGCCAGTCAAATGTCATTACGAAGTCACTTTCTATGTCATTTGGAGAAAATAGTTATTTGTTTAACTAGGCAGCAAAGTAGTAGATTGACTGCCGAGGCTGAATTCATAGCCGAGCGTAGCGAGGCTAGGAATCCAGCTAAGGCAGTCAATCTAATTTGCTGCCGAGTTGAACATATGATTTTTCCTCCGATTGTTCATGATGATATAAATCTCATTATTTTTCCTGTAGTGTTCAATTAAAATAAAGTTTGATAGAAATCGCAGTTGTTGGAATGGTTGGTTGTTATGGAAATGTCCATAATAGTTATAGTTTGACAATTCATGGAATTTCTGACAGATTGGCGGAAAAAAATCGGTATATTTGAATTATTATATAATGGACAGTGATAGCGCCTGGAAGTACTTGCACCTCCAGAAAAAAGGGAGGTGGCAAAAAATATAGAGTTGCATTTGTTGCCGGAGAAGTCTCGGATGAAATATGAAGGAAATTATGAACGATTTATGTATTATCAATTTTGCTGATACATATCAATCAGCAAAGTAACCACTTTGCTGCCTAGGCAGCAAAGTACCCACTTTGCCGCTTAGGTAGGAAAAGTAATACTTTGCTGATTGATATGTGTCAGCAGAATTAATATTTGCTGCCAATCGGAGAAAATAATTATTTGATTTACTAGGCAGGAAAGTAGTGGAATAACAGTCAACCTACGTCACCTGCAATGGGAAACCTATTATTTCTTCTCCAAATGATATAAAACCAATTCTGTGTGATTTTTTATAAAAAAACTCCATCATTTCGTGTTCAGGCAATGTCACTGTCGATTTTGATAACCAATTTCATTCAGATCACTTGGATCTTTGCGCATACGAACAAACTATTCCTGTCTAGGCAGAGAGAATATACTTTTCCTGACTAGGCAAAGAAAGTACACTTTTTCTGCCTGTTGAGTGTCAGAGGAAAGCCACTCCCTATGCCGCTTGAAAAACAAATATGTTTTGTTTGATGACAGTGATAAATGACATGGTATAACATCAGATTAATCATTTTCAACCTGACATGATGAAAAGGACCAACGTATTTCCAGATATGAAGTAACAAATTGACGATGATTACAGTTGTTTGAGGCTTGATTGTTGGCGCTGGGCTGACGGCTATAAGCAACGTAGTTGTACCGGGTGGTAACAAAAATTTAAATACGTATAAATATGCTGAAAAAATATATTTCGATTTTGTCGATTATAATATAGTTCGATAAAGTCGAGTAGCTACTCAAACCTGGCAATCTCATTGTGAATATTTCGATTTTGCAAATTCCGACCGTCATCTGATAACAAAATGATATATGTCCAAACTCATGTAAAAACATTGTTGATTATCGGACGGCACCTGTGCCAATAACAATCCTGAGCGAAATGAATGAAGGATTGCAATTTTCTGTGCAGAAATTTGCACTCGATTTCGCGCTCTGATAACGAGATGAGAATTATGCCATCTGATGCCAATTGAATAGTAGATTTCAAAAACCTACCTATGCCACCACTTAGTCTCAGGTTAATTCACGGAAAAGTGATTTATTGGCTGCTTTTATTCCGGACGTACTTCCGTTATGTGATATCGAGTTGAAACAAACAGCAAATGAAGAGGATAATGCTCTGTTTTGCAAATATTCAAACGTGCCGCGATTAAAACTGATTCAAGATAGTGGCAGAGCGTGAATATTTCCGACGAAATTTTGTCTCTGAATATAATATCCGATAGACCAGTGTCAAACTCAACATGTAGATTTAAATACAAGTATTCTGCGAGTGCGAGCAGCGCATCAGTTTCACACAGATCCATCGGATATTATCTTTTGACGGAGGTGAAATATTCTTAAGAATACTGGCGCTCTGCCACTAACTTAGATCTGCTTGGATCGCATCACGTTTGGATATTCGCAAAGAGGACATTTTCCTTTTCTGTTGGTATTCGTTTCAACTCGTTTTTGAGATCTTCCATTCGAATAGTACTCTTCGTACCGTAAACTTGTTACTATTATATCATAATTTCCATCTACAATTAGAAACTAATTTGAGTTTTTCTTGCACATTCGAAAACAAACTCATCCCTAGCAGCACAAATTTTATTCTATTGACTCATTCACAAGGTCAGGATACGAAGCGTACATCCTAACGCAACTGATAACTGAGCTGTAGAAGACGGGAGGTGAGATGTAGGACCCTGTATAAACTTTACTCTCGCATTTATATAGGGTATAAATATATTTGTATAAGCATCACGGCATTCATTATAGACGATTTGATTCACTAACCTGCATATAATAATAAAATTAATCATCAACACCATGAAAACTGAATGACACCAGGGCCCCAGGCCCTGGGAGATGAAACCCAGATAGCACAAATTCCTTTTGAGGCCCTTCTGAGGCGTTCACAATCATGTCCTCAGGACGTCGAGAGCGAGCCTGAGGACATTCTCAAGACGTCCTCCTGTTACCATTCTCTACATACTAATAACGTCTCAGAACATCCCTATAAAATCTTTTGAGACAACCTCAGGACATCATGGTAACAACTTGAGGCGGTTTTTGATGATGTTTCAAGGAGGTTCAAGATTTATGGGAGAATATTATTCGTATACAGAATGAGTCACTATAGTGTGTTCTCCTCCGATATTAGCCATACCGTCAGATATATAAAATGAAAATTCAAGTACAACAGTAATAGGGTTTCATATGAACAATCACCTAAAGTTGTTTTCATATCTATAGGGTGTTCGAATTCCAAGATATTGGTTGATGATCGGTTTTGTTTCAATGGAACACCTTGTATATTATTGCATTTTTGAGTTCTCCCTGAAGAGTTGATTCCATGAATGCATCACACTTGGTGTCTAGTGGAAATTATTACAGAGATATAGGGTGTTGACAATTGAGATTCTTCAAATGTAGGATTTTTTGTGTCGAAGCTATTCATTAATGGTCCAAACGGCTCACATGTTTCTGTCATAACTTTTGATTAGCTATCTACTGATATTTATTTGGAACAGATACAATAAGCTGACAGTATTCTGAATGTTAACCCACCCTCTATTTGTTCCCATTGAATGTCAGTAGATAGTAAATCGAAAGTTTATAAGGATATGTGAGCCGTTTTGACCAATATTGAATAGTTTCCACAAAAAAAATCCTAAAATTGAAAAATCTTGTTTTTGAACACCCTATATCTCTGTAATCATTCCCGCTAGACCCCAAGTGTGATGCATTGATGGAATCAGCTCTTCAGGGAGAACCTAAAAATGCAATAGTATACAGGGTGTCCCTTTGGAAAAAAACAATCATCAGTCAATATATCTTGGAATTCGAACATCCTACAGATATATATGAAAACAATTTAATGTGAAAGTTCTTATGAAACCCTATTACTGTTGTACTTGAATTTTCTCTATTTATCTGATGGTTTGGCTAATATACAATAAGGATAACACACTATTGACTCACCTTGTATAATGCAAATGATAATTTCTTCAAAATAATATGGATCTCATGATATTTGCAAAATTTCCTTCTATTTATAGGTTCAAATAAAAAACCAAATGAAAAACTCACATTCTATTATTTATAACTTATTCTGAAAAATTTCAATTTCCTTTTCAAAGAAATGTATTTCAGCTTCTTGTTGAGCACTTCTAGAAGTTATTGCCTATTGATAGTTTCTCCATGTTGTTTCTGATTTCTGAAC